ATAGGAAATCGCACGATCTCGAGTACAATTCGGAATCCATAGGTACAAGGGATGTTTTGAAATTTTTCAAAATTGAACGACCTTTTAGGCGAGTCCAATTTGAGAACTTTCAAAACATCACGAGTATCTATAAATTCCGAATTGTGCGATTTTTTGTTTATAATACACTCAACAAAATTGAGGAAATTAATTGGGACTCTACAGAGTACAATTTGGGATTTAATTGTACTCCTCTTGTCCAATCAGAATCGAGTAATTTGTTGAGTGTACTATAAATTTATTAATCAAAATCAGACCTCAGTACCTGGGGATCGTCGTATAGCGAAGGAGTTTCAAAACATCCTTGTTTGTTTCCCCATACATGTCTAGTTAGGGCGGGGAATCGGCATTCAGCATGTTGGGCCACACTGCACGCAATATCCGTCAGGTAGACTGGAGGCCAGTACTTACAGGACTTGAGGAGATCGACGTGGTCTCGTGCACTCTCGGGCCGTACTGTATATTTAGAAGCTGTTAACACCTGAAATCATTCAAGAAGTCTTTGTAACACTATACAGGATTAAAGAAGAAATTTCTTTTGGTCGAGGAAGATGTCAGCATGTTTCATATGAAAGGCTTGTCAGGACCATATTCCGGGTTCGTGGAAGATTCCATGAAAATATGCAAGGAGTTTTCAAAAAGTATTCATAGAATAAAATAATAATTTTCGAGGAATATATCATGCTCGAAGATTTAATTTAATATGGCATGGAAAACACTTGCACATTTACAAAAACGCAGGAAGCCCGCGAATGCGATATTTCTTGGTAAATAGGTCCCTTACAGTTAACGGTCAGGGCCTGGTTGTACGAAGCCTGGATGGCACTATCCGACAGATAAATCCGATAGATAAATTTACTGGAAAACAGCATCAACTTATCCACTGGATGAGGATTTATCCGCTGAATAGCGCTATGCAGGCTTCGTACAACCAGGCCCTGGTGTTTATACTGGAGAGCAAAATTTTTGCTTTTCTTTTAGATGGGTGATTCTTTTTAGCTAATTGTAAAGAACTGAATGAAACGATGTGTGTCCAGTGTGTTACGAAATGCAGTTTTATTACGATCTCTCGAAACAGGTTGTAGAAAGTTTGTTTGCTCGCCAGTATATTTCATCCATGGGAATCAAAATGATCATTCATTTGCTCTCAGTGAATTAATCAGCACGTGATTACTAGGCTGCAAAGGGCCTATTATTTTTATGGTCATCATATCTAAAAATCTTTATTGACATGTTTTCAAGGATTTTTCAAGGAATAATAAATTACATCTTGAAAAAAGGCTTCTCAAGGATTTTTACATTTTTTCTATTTTCAAGGACTTTCAAGTGCCCTTGAAATTACATTTTCAATTCCAGCATTTTTCAAGAAGTTCAACGACCTGCACGAACCTTGCATACTATATTCAAATTAACGTAGCAAAATCCACTATGAGTAAGCGTATAACAGGTGTTAAGATTGCACCAATTTTTTTTTTTTTTTTGCTAATATRTATATATTTTTTCTTTTTCAATCCGATTATACATAATTTCACTTTAGCTCCACGAATCTAAATTTTAAACCAGATTTTAGGCTTGAATCAAAAATTTTGAACCATGTTCTTTTTATGAACAAAATGAACATCGTGCAATTTTGCTATACGACAACMCTATATTTGCATTTTTTTAAAATAATTTAAGTTTTCCATTGAAAGTTGGCAATGATTAATTTTCTCGTCTTGATGCTAAATGAATAACTAACCTGGTGAGGGCACATTTTGTAAACTTTGCCACCAGAATAATTGGAAGCACTAGTAAATGAATGACACGTGCTTCGGCCAGACATGACATAGCTGTAGCCCAGCTCTAAATGATTCTCTAGCACAATCTATCATTAGAACAAAGAAACAAAACACAAGCAATCAATTGATGGTTTTCAACCATTGYCAAGAGAATTAAATAACAAAAGACACGGCGGCCATGTTGGAGGATATAACAAAAGAATTCATTGACAATTCTTTTGTTAGGTTCCTCCAACATGGCCGCCGTGAAAATCATCAATAACCAAAAAACATTGACTTGTTGTTATAGATTGGCTAAGTAGTCAAACAACAGACACACGGTAGAGGATGCAAGGCACTGTGCAAAACGTTTGAAACAATACTGGCGTTCATAAGCTAGAGTTCGTCGCACTAGAAACACAGTCATAGTTACCAACATTTTCACACTTCGTTTTTACTTGTCGTTTGACATGTCGTATCCAGCTAACCAAAGCAGTTCCATCTAGTAACCGCTAGTTATTATCAATTGCTAGTTCTGTGACTGGATTTTTTTCTTTCGCCATTGAACCAGTAATTAATGGAGAATTTCAGGATTTCGAAAGGTTACATTGAACCAACCGCTGCCAATGCTACATTTCCAGTAACTTCCGTTTTTATCGTTTTCCCGTTAAGGTGCGGTAATACGAGCAACGAAATCGCACAACTTGTCGCACGACATTGTTGTGTTGTAAGTTACAGAGCAAATGTTGCTCGTATTACCGTACATTTGCAACTAAAGCAACAATGCAATTGCAACTCTTCAACGAAAGCAAAAATGTCACGCGACAACTTGCGCGATTTAGTTGCCTGTATACACTTATTTCAATAAAGTTAGTCACCTGAAAAGCTACAAAGCTGAGACCGACAAGGATTATGGGTAAATACATTTTACATGTTTCAACTGCTTGATAACTGTTGATGGACTTGAGATCTTTTACCAGTTACAGTTTCACTTCCTCTGAGCACCCTCAGCTGCTGCAGTTTGTGTCAAAAGCTTCACTTGTTGGATATAAAACATTTCCCATGATTCTCAGCGATCACAGCTTTCTAGGTTTTTGGTGACTAACTTTATTGAAATAAGTATATACCACATTAATATAACACTTCATTCAAATGTTGTTGGGAAACTGTAAAATTTGATAACTGTCACGTGGTACCCTCTTGGCCAATGGAAAGTCAAGAGAGAAAATTAACTTTGACCCTTGGTGTATCCAATGTGTTGAAACTGTTTGTATGACCAAGGTCTTAGATGTAATGCAAACCATTGGTGGTCACGCAGCACAACTGTGAGGCATTGCGTGACAACCCTAAGAACATCTGGGCAAGTTTCTTACCTTTGAATCTGTCTCATTGACTGGTATATCACATCTCTGGCACAGAGAATACAAGTCATTGTGTGAGTACTGCGACAGACTCTGAGGCATCAAGACACCACTTTGAACCAAACCTGCTAACTTGGAAGTGTTGCCCTGGAATCCAGTTATGTTAGCCGTCTTGGATGAAGTTTTGAGGCTCTCTGTGTTGACTACAGTGTCTGAGCACTGAGAGGGTGGTATGAATGCTGCAATCTTGATGCCTTCATATGAAGTGATGAGGTCGACGCTTGCAAATGCTGATTGCTCAAGACTCTTGTTTTCCAGTTCGTTCCAAAAGGCATGGACGTCGACTGGTATGTCTGTTGGGAACTGCACTTGAGGCCAGTCGATCTAAAACACATATTAACAGTTATGCTTTATGCTACACTACGCACTCTAGGTATGAGGCTAATTAACAAAGTAGCTCGCATTTTTGTAAGATTCTGTTATTCATTACTCTTCAAAACAATTTGAATGTGGTTTTCAAATATATGCACCATCTGATGGAAATTTCAAAGGTTTTTTTTTCTTGCTGTCCCATATCCAATATCGTAAATACCACGAAATTGCTTCTTTTTGTTACTAAGAATATACAGTGAAAAAAAAAAAATCAAAAAAATTTTTTTTTCAATAAATTTCAAAACATTTTGAAATACAATAGAGCATCTTGCAAGGTACGGAGGAGTGCACTCTAGTTCACCCTGGAGTGGAATAGAACATCAACAAACCTTGACTCCTGAAAGAGACATTGTTTCACGATAGCTTGATTCACCAACTTCAAGTTTTGGTGCCACTCCACAAAGCCCACAGATGCAGTCGTCGTAGTTACGAACAGTCAGACACTCATAGGCCCAGTATCCCTTAAACAGATGCTGCTCAATGTACCTATTAATATAAGATATCAAACCATTATGTTGCAGGGGTTTTCGATGTTTCGTGAACTCAGACATTTCAGTGGCTTGTTGTGAAATTTGGAAAGGAGTAATGTACAACATTCGTATACGTATTGTATCAGATTTACAATCACTAGCCTTTCGCTTGTGTCGTAAATCTGATACAACAGGGGTGTAACCAGGGATCGTGCAGGGGAGGTGCACAGGCAATGATTTACAGAGTTACAGAAGCAAAAAAAAAGGAGGGATAATGGGTGAGTGATTCTTAAAAATGCTACAATATGCAGATGGAAAGTGGTCTTCATTTAATCAAGTAACATTTACATGCAATTTTAAAGCAAAAGGAGATAAATGAGTGGACCTTAAGCTTTTATGGAGGGGGGATGCAGGTGCACCCTGTGCTCCCCCCTGGTTAAGGTCCTTTACAACAAGGCACTAATGTTGTAAACAGTATTTAAAAGTACCTGCGCTTCTCTCCATTGATCTTCTGTGCTGCAGCAGGAGATTTAGCAAGAGTCATACTCATGATAGCTTCTACTGCATGTGAGGGCAGGACTCCTTGTTTTACATGTTCTCTTATGAGAAACAGGATGTCTAAACTGACCAAAATCTTGTTGGCAATATTAAACAACCCTAAAACGGGACATTACAAAAAAACATAAAAATTTCTTCTTAAGGATAATATTGTTTTCTCCTTTCATGACATGGGGTAGGGGAATCCACATTTGTGTTTGGCTATAGAAAGTTGAACTTCATTCCAAAAACTCTGCATAATTGATTTTCCTGTTAATATAATAACGATAAACTGCCCTACATCTGTACAAGCAGACCAGGGAGGGAATAGATTGGGTGGCTAGATTTCCTCCTTTAGAGTCTTAGAAATAATAATAAACAGTAAGGTAAAGTCTAAAGAGGAAGCTATCAAATTATAAGTCATTCTGAGGTTCAGAAAAAAATTGGGACAAGTTGGCAGCATAGTGCATTTTGGGGTGGTTTCATGGGATGAAATAGAAGCCATCTTGGAAATATATCCTCTAAAACAGCCCCACAATGCACTGCAATGCCATCTCTACCTCAGAACAGCTAATGTAACAGCCATCCTTCTTTAATTGATCTTGGATCTACCAATGGGACTGATCTGTGCTAAAAATAACTGCCAGTCACCAGTCATGATGACTGGCCAAATTAGCTTTAGCTCCATCATACTTCATCCCTGGCTCAAGGTTACTGATCAATATGACCGGCACTTTGAGACAGGAATTTGACCAGGCAAGTTCAGATTCTTGCTGGACACTGTCTGATGACTGGCCATTATTTTTCACAATGTGTGGTCGGTTTATGGTCATGACGCCCCCTTGTCATGACGCCCCCATCCATGACCATTCAAGAAGTACATCGCTTAACTACGGAGAAGTAGTGTAGCTTGTAGATAACACTGTAATGATTGTGAAGCAACTCCAAGAGTGATCAATTTACATGGGTTCGTAGCGCCATAATTATCGTTAGAATTCTTATCAAATGAGTGTTGATGAGAATAGTGGCGTCATGGTTTATACTGGTGGCATTATGGTAGTAGACTGGGGGCGTCATGGTATACATGGCTGGGGGTGTCATGCATGGGGTCGTCATGACAAGGGGGGCGTCATGACAAGGGGGCGTCATGACCGGTTAATGCGGACTTACCTGATTGGACATCATGGTAACTATATATAGCCATACAATTCCCATTGGTGCATTTCTTAACCTTACAAGTCATTGGTAAGATATGAGTCATTGTTACAAGCCACCCTTCTCCATTAGAACCTTGTACATTCAAAGTGTCAGACAAGGTTGATGAACATAGAAGGCATTCCTGTTCCTCTGGTTCAAAATATGTCTTCCAAGCAACTTCATTAAAATGCAGCTCTATGCGTTTCCCACTGCGCATCATATCAAGCAATGTCGTAGTTGCAGCATTTCTGCTTTCAATAAGTTTAAATATCGGCGATAACGCTGTTGCATCTTCAGGAATTTTGACAACCTTCTTGAGCAACTGAACCGTGGAATTCCGTTGTATAGCTTTATTTGGATGAGTGGCTACCGTTTGTACGATATCACTGCTGACGTTGTCATGGTTACTATATTGTAATTGATTATGGGCAACCTGTGCTCCTGGAATCAGTGAAACTATAGATGATTGCTGGATATTTAAGGTAGCCCAGCCATATAAACAAAAGTGTACACATTTGGATCGATATGGTTTTGTAGAAGTTCTTGAACCATCTTGTCCACAGCTGAACTTATTCTTTTTCGCATCAACCCGTAAGTGAAGCAAACCCAGTGGATTCCTAAGAGTCCGTGCGCAGACCAGCACATAATTATTTAAGGAAACTTGCTGAATTGGAGGAGTTTTCTTTAATGAAGCTTTTTCAATGTATTCCCTAAGTTCTTCTTTCATTGAAGTTGGAAAAGGAAGAGACGGAAGAGCAGTTTGTGAAAGAGGTAGTACATCAGCCTCTATCGAAGATTCTTTAGCAGTTTTGACGTGCTCGCACTGAAATGAGTTCGAATTAGAAATCAATGCTGCACTTCTCTGCACCCGGCATTTTTCATAGTAGCATATATGTTCATCATTTATTGTACTGACTTGAACAAAGCACCGATAATCTCGTCCACGTCTGGAAATCTTAACAGAATACAGATCATAATTCTCTGGCAAGGCTCCTACTTTAAGCTTCGTTGCAAATGAAATAGAAGTGTCCTCTTTGACTGTGTCGGTAGCATTTCCTCCAAGATAATAACCACACTTAGGACATGTACTAGGTTTTTTGCGACAGGCATAGCTAAATTCACAGTTCTGTCCTGGACATGTTCCCTTGCCTCTCTTAGTTGCTGGGGGAAGTATCTGACATAAAATACATCAGAAGTCATTATTGAAGACAAAATACAAGTGAAAAGTGGTATATTCCATGATGTGCCATGGGAAAGCAGTGTGTGACCAGTTCATCCCACAACATTGAAGATACATAGGCCACAATGTCCGATAGAAAGTGATGGTGGAATACCACTTATTAGCACCCATGGTCTATCACAAATCCTGAGCTCTGACTGACTGATCTACTAGTAGTATTCTAGCTACATGTATTTAGTGATACACCACTAGAAGAGAAAAGTAGTGGCTTTGATAGACCAAAACAACTAAAAAAGAATTATAACCTAATTTCAATAGTGTCTGTATTCATTTATTTGACCTAATAGTATTTAAACAGTACTAAAACAATTAGACTTCTCGCCCTCTTGGTCAAAGGCCGAATGGGCTATCAGACCATAGGCTGTGGGTACATTAGTTACATGAAAGAGAGTGCCCCAAGGAAATAATCAATTATAAATATAACTTTTGAAACCTTACCACAGTTTCCACAGACTGCTCACTTCCATCTTGTTGAGTAAAGAGACCTGAAGATCTTTCCATTAAATGCTGTAAGCTCGCTGTAAGCCAGAGCTGTAAACTAAGCTCGTTTGCCTATAGAAGAATTCTAACAATTTCTAAAGATCAGTGGACAACGTTCAGAAAAGAAAAAATAAAAGTTATTAAGACCATCACTTGAAAAAACTATAGTTTATGACGAATACACCATTGAAATATTTAAGCTTAAATCTATTTGTGAATTCTAGTTTCTTCTGCTTATAGCAGTGATCTTAGCTTTTTTAAGTTTGAACATCAAAATCAAAACAAAGCTCTTTTTTTACTTTGAAGTATGAAATATCATGACCAAATGAGGTTGAACACAAGTATATTATATCACAATGACATATACCAACCTAATTCCAAATTCTTAGGCACATATTTACAGAACAAAATATTTTTTTGAGGAAAGGAAATGACAAAATCTCCCGCTCAAAAACATAAATCCAATATGGCTGCCAAGTCAGAGAGGAGTCTGGGTACAAGTATCACGACGAGTCTAAACTACCCCCAGGAAGCCCAAGCCGAGCTTTGTCAATTTAAATACAGAAGCTTTTTCTTTTTTGAGATCCCTAAATATTCACAAAATATAAAGATGGGCTCCCTGCGTGTTATTGAGAGTAGGGGCGTTTGATCTAATTCTCATCGACTGAATAACAAATAGTTATTATTTGAAAATAACACCTGTACAGGTTTGAGAATTGAAATTATACATGACGGGTGGAAAACAAAGGTTTGACCGAGAAGTTTTTCCCAAGAACTGAAATAAGCAAATAGAGGTTTTCACGTGACGTCACAGCGGCCCTTATGGGGTTCCAAAACAATACTTTTCCTATCTTCCGGGAATTGAACTCTATTTTTATACAAATACTGTGCAGAAAGTTTCTATTGTTTAAAGCTGCCTTCTCACGTGAGTGAAACGCTCTATACATCTTAATCTAGGAATCGGCTCCATATTCCGTATTCCTGTTTTTTTTTTGTTGTTGTTTTTTTTTGTTTGTTTGCTTGTTTTTTGCTTGTTTGTTTGTTGTTTTTTGTTTTGTTTCGCTTTGTTTCGTTTTGTTTTTGTTTTTGTTTTTGTTTTTGTTCATTGTTTTTGTTGGTTTTTTTTTTCTTTTTTCTTTTTGTTTTTGTCCCCAGTTGCTTTTCTGTCTGTTTTTTTTATCTTTTTTTGTTCGATTTTTATGCTATATAAAGGTGTTAATCATTTTCTAGAGTTTTCCCATGATTCCATCGTTGCTACTTAACTACTGAATAAATGGAGTAGTAAACAGAAAAGACGAAAAAAATATCAATGTCTGAAATAATAGTAGAGCGTGGGAAGGTGACGTAAACTGACGTTAACACAACTCGAAATAACAGTGATCAATACGACGGAGCTTAGCTTCACCAAACTTGATGCATGACAACCTTTTGAGATCAGGCTGCAGCTTATGATGGGGTCGATACTCTCGCAGAATTCTAACGACACGAAAGGCAAAGATGAAGATTCGACGCTCATTGAGATGATTTCAAGCCAAGGAAAAGAAACTACAACCGACGAATATAGAAGAAGCGAGGTAATGTTTGGTATATATATTTTGATCTCAGTGATAGATAGGTCACGGAACTTGAATCTGTATTGGAAAAAAGATCCCTCTAGCTCAGTTCATTTTTTAATATCTTAGAATATTCAGTTTTTTTCTACCAGTTGGATTTTGTAGGCGATGATGATGTCGAACTTGTAAGCTTCAATATTATTATACCAAGCCATCAAGGCCTAAATAATTCATAAACTACAAGATTCGAGAAGTCGAATAAGTCATGTCACTAGCTGATATACTAGGAACACTGCTGTCCACAAAATCCCGAAAGTAAAGGCACGAAAACAATCTACTATTTCCCATTTTATAATTTCCAGTTCTCTAATTCATTTTCGTTCTTTAGGTTTCTAGGATTCTTCTTAACGATAACAATAATATTAATTTTGCTTATTGAAGTCCAGACCTTTTTACAAGCTGTGACACCTTCAGCGCTGTTTTCCATACGGCCACAAGCGGCTTTACCTGCCTTTTCAGCCATATGACAAGGTTTCCAATTCACAGTAGTTGCATGATAATCATGAAAATTTAAGGTTAAGCAGCAGACTCTCAAATATTTTCCTCGTGTACGTTGCTGGAATCGTGCTGGTTTATGCAGAAGCAGTACTAAGTTTATAAGTTTACTTGATTAACATCATGGATACCGATAGGATTTTGATGAAGAATTTTTGAAGTTAAATTCTTAATTTTATATTGGACATAAATTTGGAATGAAAGGAGCTTGTTGGTTTTGGGCCGGAAGTGAATGTCAGGTAAATTTATAATTATAAAAATTATGGTCGCCTTTTAATTACTGTATCCTCTAGGTGATGCTTATACTTCCTTATTAACGCATATACAGTGAGAGAAACCAAAATACAGCGTGCTCTAATCGTCTTCAGTTCATATACGACCAGTACCACAATCGATACTCAGGGGCCACTAAGTCTGGAATATTTACAATACGCAAAAGCGTTTTTATAATTTTTGCTCTGCCCAAAAAGTTGTACTTATATTTCAATTCGTCTTTCTTTCTTTTTTTGTTTAGCAGAACTTTCCTCTGTACAAAGCCTCCTCATTAAGCTAAAGTCTTTTAAATGGATATTAAAATATCCAGTACGAGTTCATTATGTCTCGACGAGAGAATTGGATTTAAGAAGTGTCTTCACAATTCAGTCTGGAAAGTCATAATTGATATCATGTATGTGGGTTTTAAGATGTCAGAATGGCTACTCCAGATAAGGATCTTAAAAAATAAAAGGATTTATTTTGGTAGTTCATAAATATACATAAAGCCATATGCATTCTGAAATCACTTTTATTTAATTATATTTTACACATACACAAGCTGGCTATTTTTTTAATGCCAATAATTTTCTGCTAAAAATAAATTTCCATGGTTTTCAGATTTGTTCAGTATTAAAATTATTATTGTTCAGATTTGCTCAGTATTAAAACTCTCGATTTAGGTATTTCATATCATAAATATACATAAATCTATGTGTATTCTCATCATTTTTATTCATTTATATTTTACTATACATATATACAAGCTGTCTTCTTCTTCTTCTTCTTCTTCTTNTTTTTTCTTTTTTCTTTTTTCTTTTTTGTTTGAAATGACAATTCCCAACTAAACGTATTTTCAATTCATGTTTTTCGGTTTCTGATATCTTCTTGCCATTTGAAACTATGAAAGAAAAGATATTTCTAAACGGTTTTCATTTTGCCTGAGGCTTGCATCTCGTCATTTTTGTCTTAGTGACTAGTTTATAGCGGAACAATTTATAATGTTTACCGTACAGCAAGTAGAAAAATTGTATTTGAAACTGATAAATTATATATCATAGCGTTGTGCACGTGATTAGTCGGAGTTAAACTTATAGCCGATGCACCTGGACCTGGCGTTGTCACGCAATATCAGTTGTATCGAATTCTGATCAGTAAACCTTGGTCTTGCTAATCTATTAGAATATTCAGGGCTCAGCTAACGTACTGATCGAAATGCAAGTTATAGCTTGTTAGGTTTGATGAGGGAGGGAAATCGAAGTTCACCCAAACAAATACTCCTTGAACTGAGACCGCAACAAATTTACATGCTACTCCACTTGGGCATGCGCATCTCATGAACTGTGTTTAATTGTTAATACTCTCGCACGATATCACGATCTAATCAAAAATCGAACACAAACCAAATCTATTTCTAATGGAACCTCAAAACCACCTCTGGACTGATCAAGGTCAGGGCACGGCTAACAGATCAAACCCTTTAAAAAAACTCGTCATCGCTAATCACCACCGCAAGTACTGCAGTGGCGCAGCTCAACAGGATTGAACTGAAAACTATATGCTTAAACAAGTGACATCTGGCTGATCTATAAGTTAGGGCATGGCTATCTTACAGATCGAACCCTCAAAAACAACCTCTGGGCTATTCTAGATCTACTGAAGTCAGGGCATGGCTGACTTACAGATCGAACCCTGAAACAACCTCTGGACTGATCTACTGAAGTCAGGGCATGGCTGANGATCTACTGAAGTCAGGGCATGGCTGACTTACAGATCGAACCCTGAAACAACCTCTGGACTGATCTACTGAAGTCAGGGCATGGCTGATTTACAGATCGAACCCTGAAACAACCTCTGGACTGATCTACTGAAGTCAGGGCATGGCTGATTTACAGATCCAACCCTGAATGAACCTCTGGGCTGATCTAAGTCAGGGCACGGCTAACTCAATCCGCCCTCTATCCGGCTTATGAATGTGAACTCCCAGTCCAAAAATTAGATCTGTGTAGTCCAAATTCATATGCTATTTATTTTTATTCACAGGCCTATTTGAAAATGAATCAGTGTCGAATTGCAAACTGTCCGACAGACCCCAATGCTCATCAGTTTGTCAAGACATTCAGAGAGCTACAAGGAAAAAAAGAACATTTCTACGTCCAGCTTCATAACGAAGTCATCCAGTGGAGACTTATGTTTCAGCGCGGRGTTTCCAACAAATTTGAAAATAACGACAAAGTAAATAAGCTCATCGGAGAGTTCATAACAATCCATGAAAAACTTGACGATTTTCTTGAAGAGGAGCGTAAAAATATTGAACAGATTCTACCGAAGCGAAAGGCATTGAAGGATGTTTCTGACGGGCAAAAGAAGTCTAAAAAGGATTCTTTAATTCAAGGGGAAAGAGAAAGTTTGGAGTTGACTCCCGAGGCGATGCAAAGGCTTATGTGTTTTCAACAGTGTAACGATCAACATATCAGAATTCTAACTCAAGTTTTGTCTGACATTGAGGACTGTAAAAAATTTGAATCTGCGAAAACCAAACAGGAGACAAAGGAAGTACAACCAGCGCCGTCGAACAAACCAGTTTCTATAACTGTGTCATCGGTTGATTCGGAAGAATTCGGAATTCAGAGTGAATCGCATTCATGAATAACCAATTACCAGTATACAGCAGTGGTGGAAGCGCTGAATGATACTTGATTCGAATTCCGAGAAGTCATTTCTTGGATCCGGCATTCCAAACCAAACATCAGGGCGTATCATGCACGGTAGTACGAAGGGTTGATAGCGCGGGCTATCCAACGGTAAAATTCTTATCCAGTGGATAAGTCGATGCTATTATCTAATACATTTATCCACTGGATAAGACTTATCCGTCACCGATATAGCGCTATCCTTCCTTCGTACCGGCAAAGGCACTGGTATATCCATGCAATCGAATATCTACTATATGGACTGCCTGATCCTGTGAACGGCTATAGCTCATCACCTAGATCCACCACATAGTGCATGGTAGTTTCCAACGGGGTATAGTAAATTCGGCTGCAAAATAATAAAAAATAAAAAAATAAAAAAAACATCAAAGAGGTGAAAAAAGAAACCAAACAAACGGTATAATAACAAACTTTGCTGCCGAACTACTGTGGTCATGTGTTGCCAACAGAATTCATCTCATATACCATGGTAATGCAGATCAAGTGCAATGTTTCGCAACTAGTCGTCAAAAGTAAGAGTTTCTACTGATGATCTCGAAATATCAATAGACTTAGCTTTCTTAAAGGCAACAGTACAAAGATTTGACTGCACTTGCTTCACGAACAGTGCCATTGTGAGTTACAGTTACTCCTGTGAACGGTCTGCAGTGACATTTGACTTTTTGATCACTTATTCCCAATATGACGTTCTTCGCGATCTGAACTTACTCTTTTTGTGGTCTCGTACCACGAGCCCGGGTTCTTCCTGATCAGCAGGACATTGAAGTCAGCATGAGCTCAACATCCGTAGGGCATTTGCATTATTATATCATTACTACGACTACCAGAGTCCCTTGCACACTTTGTTTTGTTCAGTAGGATAGAGCTCTCTTGGTTCTGTATAATTATTACCAAGTGTTTTACTATTCTCATGAGGAAATACACTCATGCAGATTTGAATGAGAAAGCAATTCGCGAAGCATTTTGTATTATAAGTAGTACATATGAAGCCGCATCATGTAAACAGTTGATAGACAGTCATGCTCATTTGTCCTATGATAAATTTTGATCTATGATAAGAAAAATGAATCTTGTATCCTCAACTATTCATGTTCGATGTTGAGTGTATGACGTCACAGACTCCAAAAAATAATCGTAAAAATATCATACTTTCGTCCTGAATATCGAGAAAACACTTTATACAGTGATTATTGGACCTTTAAAGAGTATTCTTAGGAAGTTTCAGCTGAATCCAAGTTTGAGCGATTTTCGTCGTAGTAGCACTTTATATGAACTATGATTTCGTTACCAACCATACCTTATTTCGTTTATCAGCCTGGCTTTCGGTTTGGAACCTAATGTGAAACCTAACCATCCAGAAACCTGAGACGGCGGTATAAAGTTAACATTACCAGTAGAGGTAGTGAAAAAGAAAGGGTTTCCCCCGCCCCAACCATATATGAGATTTCGCTCCAAGCCTTGATAGTTTCATAATTCGCAATGCAGCTCGACAAAAAAATAACCGCTTTCCATCTCTATCAGAAACTTGGAATTTCAAAAACTACGGCTAAAAAAAAACATAAAATTGAATTTAATGATTTAAAAAAATTTAATCAAAAATAAATTACTCATTTGTTTTTCCTCACAGCGGACAACCCCATTTACGCATGCCCTCAATCCAGTCATTTCCGTTTGTATTGAGTGGAGGGGCAACTCAAATCGAAGAACACCGAATTTCTTTTTTTCTTTTTTTACCTCCTAAATTGGCCCTTAAATCAGCCCGTAGCCGTATAGGCTAGACACATTTAGCCAGAATGGGGAACCGTGGAATGGAAGATTTGATCCCGATCGTCAACAAAATCCAAGATGCATTTGCACAAATCGGTTACTCATCGGCGATTGATCTTCCACAAATTGCTGTAGTAGGCAGCCAAAGTGCTGGAAAAAGTAGCGTTTTAGAAAACTTTGTTGGAAAGTAAGCATCCTTATTCATTTTTTTATACCTTCGTTGTTTATTTGTAGTGCGGCTGGTTGAATTGTATGTGATTTTGATGTCCTTTTTTCAGAGATTTTTTGCCCAGAGGATCGGGTATTGTTACACGAAGGCCTTTGATTCTACAACTTTATCCTTCAAACTCAGGTGAGTCTTTCTAATTTTTAACAAAATTATTGCAATAATTTTATTCAAATTTGCCATAGGACTGAAGTATTTATACTGGTTTGAGCTTTTGAATATATAACATTTGTTTTACTTCATGTATAAAACTTATTCGAACTTTATTCAAGATGGCGATAATAAAATAAACAGAAGCCATGGTCTTTACCCTTTATTTATCAATACCTATGGTTTGTTTTGACATTCTGAATATTCTGATGCCTGCTTCCTGTTTTTCATTCTTGCTTTCGAAGTTTTAAAGGCCAAATTCGCTTTATTTATCTGACATTATTGTACAGTATTTGTACTAAATATATTCTTACAAGCATTGAACAGTCTAGTTATTCGATTGAGCATAATTCCAAAAATAGCGATGATGGATATACAGGGATTAAAACACAGTGGAATAACGTTATTAAACTAGGATTTTTGACATTTTATTTACCTCATAATATAAAAACACACACAATACTATTTATTTAAGACTTTAAATTTTTTTAAACCTTCATGAATGTGTAGCCCTGTAAAAGGCTTTCTTACACAGTATGTATGCTTAAAAATAAATATTATTGTAGAAAAATAATTTTGTTTTTCCGACATACAGTAGCTGCCATTGAACTCTTTATTACAAAGTTGCTGGAAAAAAAATTGTTTTAAAAAAGAGGAATTGGGAGACAAATTGTTGAGGATGTAGCCTTAATGTTAATTTTAGGTGAAGAAATTGGTTGTCTTGACAATCAAACCAGTCCATTGACTTAAGAAATATAAATCAGTTTTCCATTTTGGATACTCTGATCTAACCATACATGAGATGCTACATGAAAACACCAGAGAAGCATAAGCACAGTGTTTTCCAGCTTAATTTTCTCAAATACATTTTACTATACTCTTATCTAAAATGACATTTCAATCAATTAAAGTGCACGTTAGAACTAAGTTATTCACTAAAACTGGATTCAAAATAATAGTCTTTGTATGAAGCATTCTGTGAAGTAGCTACTATGTAGTTTCATCATGTCCTAATGCATGAGGAAGTGACCCAGAAAGCAATGGGGTATGCAGCACTGCTATTTTTACAAACATTTGAACTATGAAGTTGTGATTGTTAGAATTTGGTTTTTCGCTACCCCAAGTCAAAAATATTAAAGGTACCAACTCATTAGTTTTAATTGATGGCAACGAAAAACCAAATCAAGCATGTAGCTTATAGGTACCAAGTTCGCATGTTTATGAAAATAGCAGTTAAATGAACATTCTCAGGCTCAGAAATCAGTCAGATTTTTCTTTAAAAAAGCCAAATGTCATAAAAAAGTCAAATTCCCTTCTGGCTTACAGTGTAATGAGCAAACGTATAAACACATTTAATGTTTCGCATACTTCAATGCACAGGTTCTGTACATTCAACTGATACAATTCGATGCAAACCTGCTCGTTTTACCAAAAATGCGCTCATTTGACAGGAAAAAGCCTGTGCAAAGAAGTATGCAAATATATCATCATAGTCATACTATTGCGCCTACTATTGCGCCTTGCTCTGAAATACCTAATTTTATTGCTACATACCATGATTAGTTTACGAAATCCACAGTGTATACCACCTGACTATAATCATAAATAATAATAATAATCGTCATCATCATCAAAAATCATAATTCAATGCACTCCATAATGTTTTTTATTAATCATAATTAACAACAACAAAATGGCAATAATAAAAATAACAATGATTTTGTTTCAGCTATATCTGGATATAATATTTTTCTTGACCTTTCTGAATTACATTTTTTGTACACAGTAGTTTTTGACATGAAAAACATACTTCTTTACACATATGTAGATTTTATCAGTTATTTCCAATAAACGTTTTACAAATAACATGCTGATCAGCTGTTTCCTGTGTGGATGCTCCAACCATTCTCGCTTCAGCCAATCAGGAACAAGCAGTGAAACCAAGATTTGACAAACAAGTTACATGTTATCAAAAACTTATATGGAAGTAAAACATGGTGATTGGCTGTGCTCAGTAGTACTCTGATTCTGCCCTCGCCTGATAGGCTCTGGTTTTCAGTCTACATATAGATTGTGATTGGTGAACGCTGCCAAAGTTTTCCCACTTAGATTGTCCACATAAACAACAAACAAACAAACAAAAAATCTGCAACTTTATCGAGTACAAGTAATCCTAAAACAATTTATTGGTTAAGTTAAGATAAGATAAGCGCAAAGATAACTCACTAATTATTATCATGAGCATCTGAAGGAAACAAAAGCAACACATTTGTTCTAAGTATTGTTTACCACTAAAATCTTCGATATTTATTAAAAATTTCTGTTTCATTTTTTATGAGGAAATAATAAAGAATATGTGCATTGGTGACTTGTACATTTTAAAATTATAATACAAATCACTTCTAATCTAAACTGTGTACAATTTTATTCCAGAGTATGCAGAATTCCTTCATTGCAAGAATAAGAAGTTCACTAACTTTGAAGATGTCAGGAAGGAGATTGTTGCTGAGACCGACAGAGTTACTGGAAGCAATAAGGGAATCTCTTCTGTACCCATTAACTTGAGGGTATATTCACCTCATGGTGAGTCCATTCAGGGATTAATGGGAGGGGAGGTTGAGTGTAAGTTTGGTGTTGGAGGAGAAAAGGAGAGGAGGAGGGGGGTGAATGGAGTTGCTTGTTGGTTCTCTCTATTGTACATTGAAGATTTTTCTCCATTTTCTGCTTCCAATTCAATAATAGAATGAGGGCCACAAGTTGTTAGCCATAGGCTCAGTTTACCTCATAACCCAACTGGATGGTGCACTATACCCTGTATGCTATTATACCATAATGCCTGTTGAAGAAATAATTTTAATATATTTCAACTAGAGAACTTGAGTTAAAAATATCTGATAAGAATACTAACTGAGAGAGAGTGCTTAAAGGGGATGGTGCCATGTGACAAAAGGCTGTCAAAACAAACTGTAAATTATTTAAACTGTCATTAAACTGTTGTCTTGTTTCACAGTTTTAAGCCTGACTCTGGTAGATCTTCCTGGCATGACCAAGGTACCAGTTGGTGACCAGCCAGCAGACATTGAATTCCAGATTAGAGCCATGTTATTTGAGTTCATTTCCAAAGAAAACTGTCTTATTCTGGCTGTATCACCTGCCAATTCAGATTTGGCCAACTCTGATGCCCTGAAAATTGCAAAGGAAGTTGATCCACAAGGTTTGTGAAGCTCTTCCAGCTGATTTGAGAAAAAAAATCAAAAAATCAGAATCAAAAAAATTTGCAACACTGAAGTGTCACTTTTCCGCCTTGAAATCATGGATTTCCAGGCCACCAAATGAAAATGTAACGTTGCTAATATGCTCTAACAGTGACACAATGATTTATGAGTTTTATATTTTTATTGCAATGGTGGGTTTGTTATTATTTTTCGCTGATCAATTTTTGCAGGCTTCATGACACCTCAGTTTTCCAGTGACGTAATCTTTACGTCGCTACTTCAGCTGGTTGTAACAATGGTTTCATAACAAAAAGTACAGGTCTGGGATACCTCTATTAGTGGACACACCTCATACATTATTTACTGTAAAACAAAGCCCCCTTTCAGTGGACAAACCACCGTTGTGCAGGGTTTTCAATAGAAGCCAGCAACTGGCAGATTCTGCCGTCTACTCTTGCTAATTCGACCGCCTACTTAGCCACTTCCCAATGCAATTGTAAATTTTGATTAAAGTTCTTTAAAGTTCGTTAAAATAAATTTTAACCCAATCTTTGTTGCTGTACTACGAAAACTGCAACGCAATCGAAACTATGACGATTGTTGTCCGCCATCTTGAATTTTTGTGAGAAGAGTGAGACTGGTGACAAGTATGCCTCGATTACATGCTCCAGTGATTTCCGGTTTACCGCCTATTCTAATTTCATAACCGCCTACCAAAAATTTTATTGAAAACCCTGTTGTGCATACACCAGACAAAATGTCATGTATAGATCCAGGATTTTGTGGATTCAGTGATAAGAGTGTACTTTCCTAGAAAATTCTAGAGAAGATCTTGCAAACTGAAATTCAGTTTTCAAGGTTACATTTTGTGTCTGCAAATGTTTAAAAGGCTTAACTAAACTACAGACAAAGACCAAGATTGGACTGCCTTTTGTTTGATGTGTTGTTCACTCCTATACTACGAGGGTTTTCTCCGGGTTCTGCGGTTTCCTCCCTCCGTAAAAATTATCATGTTCAATTTGAGCATTGTCTGCATAGAACATTGAATGTAGTGGTAGTGTGTGTGAGTGAAAAGTGTCCCCATTTAGTGCAAAAGCAATAGAACAACTAGGCACTTAAATAAAGATTATTATTATTWTTTTTTAAATCTTCTTGTTTGACTGTAGGAACTCGTACTATTGGTGTCATTACTAAATTGGATTTGATGGATAGTGGTACTGATGCAAAAGACATCTTGGAAAACAGAATACTTCCACTTAGGAGAGGTATTTACTTTATATAGTTTGTGTGTATTTGAACCTGTCATTTAGTTACAGTACTACTGTTTTATTGAGTGAGTACACTAAGCAGAAGAAAACATAGCAATATTTTACTGGTTGACCAATAGGCTACTGACAATCAAATACATGTAAATCATTCCCATGTACATGTACCTTTCCACAGTTCCAAAACATTTATAATAACATTTAGTATGCGTTGGCCGTGCATCGACCCACAACCGAAAAGTGACGAAACTGTCGACCATTCGTTGGCCGAACATCGCTCAACACATGGCCAATGGTCGGGCAATACACACAGCCGATAGTCCGCTTGGTCAACACACGGCTGATAGGGTGACTGTTGACGTGCAACAGTCGGGCAATAGTCGACCGACACATGTTGGCTATAGTCATGCAGTACTTACGATTGCTGACATTGTTATGCTTTGCTAATTAATGCATCAAATCTTCTCTCATTCCAGTTTACCCAGGGGGCAAAATATTAGAAATTTGTTGAATTAATAAGACAAAATTTTGCTGTGCCACTGCTACACCATTTTTGCCCCCTGACTGACTGCTTTGAGGGTTTTTCTCTGGTTTCCCTCCCTCTAAAAACCGACTTTTAATTCCAATTGTAATTTTGGCGAAGAGAGAACTCTGTAAAAATGCTGATGTGAATTGCCATTTATTAATTATTATTAATATTYATGATTATTGAATGGCATAAAGTGAATGGGAAAAAAATATCTGATACACTTTATTCTTCTTCTTTGCTTTCTGACTAACAAAGCTGATCATTGCAGTACTTTTAAGACTAAAAAAATGTATATCATTAATATTATTTACTTTCTTTACAGGTTACATAGGTATTGTGAACAGGAGTCAAGCAGATATTGATGGAAGGAAGGACATCAAGGCAGCTTTAGCATCTGAAAGAAAGTTCTTCCTTAGCCATCCTTCCTACAGGTTTGTAACAGATACTATGGTCAGATAAATATTGGATTGAATGAGCTTTATTACAAGAGGGTAACACACGACAGTTATAGTTTAAAAAAAACATACTGTATAACCCAGTGGCCCTCAAATATGATGACTACATGGGCTACACATTATGTAGGTCTTAAGTAGGAGTGTTTTATCAAGATAAATCCAGAACTTTAAGTGAAAAGTCTTACATTAATCTCATGGAGCATGATCTGCTAGCTTATTGGGTTACAGCTTCAAAAACCTTGGATTAAAGACCTTATTGGCTTGGGTGTCATTCTCTTGAGAATAAGATTCTCTTTTTTTAAAATTTGCATCCAAAACCCAAAGAAGTACCAAAACTGTTGACCGTGTGTTGGCTGATGGTCCACCAATACACTGCCAACACACAGCCGATAGATGGCCGATAGACGGCCGATAGTTGGGCAACTGTTGACCAACAGTCGGGCGATAGTTGACCGACACGTGTTGGCTGGTCTATGATACTCTAGGGAATGACATGTGGTCTGAAATGGGAAAACATTATGCCCAAGGCAAAAATGTGTATTTATAGGACTTTGGTCAAGTTAGATTGACCACACACTACAAGCATGCCCGATTATCCCTGCATTTTATCACAGGATAATAGAATAGGTTTTACAGCCCTGAAATGACAAAGGACAAAAGTAATTAATATAATGTAACATTTTAAACCTTCCAGTGTAACATTTTGAACCATCCAGTTATAATGCACTGGCATAGATGTACATTACTGCGGTTTTCCATATCATTCTGAACTTGGTAGTTACAAGCTGCACACTTAAATTTGTATTTGATGTTGTCAACCAAAAATAATCTCAGTCAATACTTTTTATATTTATGACTAACGGCAGTGAAAAACCAACTTTACATTGAGCTGTTGAAATGTCTGAGTTCGCAGAAAATAGAAAAATGGAGTAACAAGACTGTCATTTATTATTCTTAATAATTTATTATTCTTAATAATGCTGGGAATTTCTTAAATCCAGGCACATGGCTGATAGGATGGGCACCTCTTACCTACAGAAAGTCTTGAACCAGGTAAGAATGATTATTGCTAAGGATGGTTGAAAAATAATAATTTGATAAATCTTTATAACTAAGCACAGTCGGCCATCTTGAATAACCATGGCTGCAGAATAGGTGACAAGATAAAAAAAGTCTGTTACTTACAAACATTTATTCAGGTTGGAATACCCAATTCACTAGATACAGCACATGTTTGATTTAAGGTGGCTCATAGTCATGACCTGCTGCTGCTATGGCAACATTCAAAAGGTACTGAGCCACCTTAAAGTTATTTTATTTGCTTGCGCTGTTCACTTCAGTTGCCCAAAAACTCCTTTTTGCCACTGTTTTGACAATGAATTTTGAACCATATAAATACAATTAAAATTAATAAGACTGCAGACGTTATGGCAATGATGTACTTTATCATGACCAGCAACATTAATTATCGTGTGGGTCAACAACTGGTTGTACCGTACAACGGGTGAATAGTGCTATCCAGTGGATAATCTATCTTGGATAACAGCAACAACTTTTCCACTGGATAAGGATTTATCCAATTGGATAGCGCTATTCACCCTTCATACAACCAGGCCCTGACTGTTACAAAGATGTTGGTGGTGCGTTAAGGTAGACAGCCATCCAATTGTTGACCAACACATGTAGACAGTCGTAAAGCACATGATAACCTATTACCAATCTCTTCATTGCTATAAACTGATCAAGGCAACAGCCAAGTAAGGGAAACACACTGTCATTAATCAAGACACTTGCTCAGTACCTTTACATACTCTGATTGACGGCAGTGTATCACCTGATTCCCCTGTCATGACTGTTGTCTGGATCAGCATGTAGCAATAAAAACAGTCAGTGTTAATAGATCTCTTGAATTTGATTGTGGAAATGTCTGTTTTAGCAATTGACCAACCATATAAAAGATACCTTGCCGGCTTTACGAAGCAGACTTCAAGACAACATGATGGCTTTGGAGAAAGAAGTGAAAGGATACAAGCACTACAACCCTAATGATCCATCTGTTAGGACTAGAGCAATGATGCAGTAAGTCTGCAAATTTTGAATTAACACTCCAATTTTTCACTCCAACTTTTGCAAAATTAACAGATAATGATTAGTGGCAACTACTGTGTGGGTGTTTTGAATAGAACAAGTTAATGACAACAAAATGAAACACCTACTTTGCTTTGTCTTGCCTTGCCTTGCATTGCCTTGCCTTGCCTTGCCTTGCCTTGCCTTGCCTTGC